TGCATATATATATATATGACAATAATTAGTAACTTTGAAACTTAAAACACTTCTAAACTTATTAGTAATTATGATGAGATATTTCAAAAAGGAGTTGAAGTAAGAGTTGAAATAGAATGAACATTGCATAAAAAAGAACCATAATGATTAAAGACCAATCTTTTAAATAAGATTAAGAGTTATAAATCTTCCAAATAATGTTGGGATCTTTTCTTCTTGCCCCCTTTTATTGATTTTGAATGGCAACAAAAATAAAATAAATTAGTAACTCGAGTTACATTAGAAAAGCATGAAATTATTAGAATTAAAAGTAGAAAAAATTAGGAGATGTACGACATCAAACCCAATACCTCTCGTCTGTAGAACGAGCAATCTGCCATTTGAGCTATATCCCCAAAGTAGACAAGTAATAGTAAATTTTTGGATAGGTAATATCCTACACTTGAAAATAAATAAATAGAAAATAACCTTCCTTCTACCTTGATTCAAACTTGTTGACTTTATAATTTAATATTAATAAACTTATGATTGATGAATATAACATTTTCTTATGGAGAAATTTCAGGGTCTTGTAATTATTTACATCAAGGAAGCCTAGATTTCAAAATATCAAAATAAGCTCAATTATCCAAGAAAACTTGAGTTTGATACAAACAAATTAGAATTATGATTTTTGTTTAGCTAACTATATTTATTAAAATATAATAATAATAATAATAATAATAATAATACTAATAATAATAATAATAATAATAATAATAATAATACTAATAATAATTTTAATTTTAAAAATTATTGAATAATTTAGAACTTCTCAAAAAAATTTCAACAAAAGTATTAAATGATTATTTTATGATCTTTTATTTGCAAATAATCAAATTTGATTTCATAAAAATAAAATTGTACTCTTCATTTTCTATTCTTCATGTAGCAATCTTAAATTCTATATTTTTTTTTCTTATACTTTTTGCATTCCAACAGTTAAATCCTTTGACAATTAAATTTAATATAATATATGTTTTGGTTAATCAATATATAGCATTACTATATAAATATATAAATTTTTATTACCCTTCCAATGGCTACATCATATCAAAAATATCTTCCTTATATTCATTCCATCAATCACATATGTTGGGAAATGTTTTATGTTTTGTCTCCAACGCCTTATGTAAAATATTAAAATATTACTTGAGTATGCATTAATAAGTATTAAAATGATATATTTATTACCTTGCCTTTTTACTCAAATGCCAATATTATTCACTATGTTAAAAGGCATATATTTATAAGCACCTTTCCAATTTCTAGTTGGTTAAATCCTATTTCATTAGGTGATATTTTAAATAATATTAGAGTTGAGAAACTGTAAAAATAGAATGAACATTTTCTTACGTGATCTAGAATCTGGCATATGCTTTCACAATAATATCATGCACCCATTCTAGAGATAAATAATATTAGAGTTGAGAAACTCATTAATGATTGGACAAGCCGAGTCAGAACTCAACTTAATGTAAATATAATGGATATTTTATTTTGTGCATTTAAGCTCGATGATTATATGAGAATCTAAAAATTAAACTGTAACAAAAAAATATGAGATAAAATGTCATTATTTATGAAGGCACAAATGAAGTTAGGGATGCACATGCTGATAGATTAGTACATGAGTATGAACTTTGTATGAAACCTGAAGAAAATATTTCAAACATGCATGCCCGTTTCTTAATAACTATAAATGTTTTACACTCTTTAGTTAAAACTTATAAAATTAAGATGTTTGCCTAAAGATTGGGATGCTAAAGTTAATGCTATTAGTGAAGCTAGGGATTTAAGTACATATCCAATCGATCAGCTTTTTGACTCTTTAATAGCTAGTGAACAAAATATGGCTGCAAGGGATTTGTGGGAATGTCATAAAGAAGAAAGATAAAAGCAAATGCATATCTTTGATGTTTAGAAGAATTGATGTGATTGATTCAAGATTTAGTGAATTAGCGACTAGAGAGGAGATTAAGAAAGAAATGACAATGCTCTCAAAAAGATTCAACAATTTGATGAAAAAGACAAGCAAATTCAAAGACAATCAACGCATGTAAATAAAAATTTTAAGGATAAAACTAAATTTTCTAATACAGGTACAAAAGATAAAAGGTAGGCTGATTTGCTACAATGATAAGATGATAAGATGCCGAGAAACATCACATGTGATTGTCCAACTCATATGGGAGAAGAAAGATTCAAGGAGAGAGATAGAAAGAATAACAAAGAAGAAAGTGATGAAGGCTAATTGGATGAATTTAGTAGTGGGACCAACTCCATTGAGTTAGAGGAAGAAAATCTCTATCTTATATTGGATTATGGAGATAACTCGACAAACATCCAAGAGTTGTAATCGAGAATGGTTTATCTTGTGAAAAGTCAGATGATGCATTCAATGAGTTGCATCGTGAGTACAAAAAACTAAGAAAGAAACAACTTAAGCTAGAAAAAGATCATGCATATTTAAATATCAATATAGTAAATTAAAAGTTAAATATGAATCACTCTAGTAAAATAATAATATTTATAGAAGTATTTCAGATGATCATTCTGCTTTGATGTCAAAATTAGGATTTGGAAATAACTAAATCAAATTTAATGTAAAAATCTAACTCTAATAGAAACACATCATTTAGCAAATTAATTATTAATAATCTTACACATGCACATGCCAATCGTTCACATCGTTATCACCAAATAAGATCATATGCAAATACAAATTTGTGGTGTAACAATTGTGATAAACACGAGCATATATCTTTTGATTTGTATGCAATGCGTGCACATCATATTCAAATTCATCATCATCATATATATATATATATATATATATATGGGTAGTTAAAGACAAAATATACACAACCATTTTGGATAGTTAAAGACACAAAATACACACAATCATCTATGCAAAATGATCATGATTTTAAACATTTTATTGAAACTGGACCCAAATATATATGCCTCCTTAAAATAAACAACTCATTTGATTTTTGCAGTCATGTCTCCAAAATAAAATCAAGAGGCATGTGGTATCTAGATAGTGGATGTTCAAATGTTCAAGAATCCCTCCTTCAACCTTGATATGAGCATCATTTAACAAATAATCCTACTCTTGAATATAAATAGCATTCCTTCAAACTGTTCTTCGCAACTATTCATTCATAATCTTCTATTTCAGAGTGGCTCACACTCGCAAATGTCAATAGTTATTGAGCAGGAAAATAAGACAGTTCATCAATGCAAATATAAATAATAATAATTGAATGAAATAAATAATATTAAGATTACATTATTCAAATTGAGGGATCCAAGATTGTGCTTCAAATAATGCTTGTAGAATTAATTTTCTTGTGCAAATAATTAAAATCAAACTCTTCTGATCAAAATTTCAACAAAACAAGACTTAAAATTTTCATGCTTATTTAAACATTGACATAATTAATAAATATTAAATAAGATTTTATTTTAAACTGAACCATACCTATTTTGTTTGTCCTCGGTTCCATTTAACAGATGATCACATTCATCCTTTGTACAATCAAATCAAGAAACATTTTACATTCAAGCTTTTCACTTAGATTCAAGTCTTAATGATGACAACATAAAAGGGAAAATTTACATACAAGTCGCTCAAATCCAATGTGTTTATGCATGAAAATGAAAAAAAAATTCAGATGTTTTGTGTAAATAGATAAGAATTGGATGAGTGTGTGTACAGGCCCAACATGTAAAAAATAAAAAAAAATAAATAAATAAATAAATAAAAAGTAAGCTGAGAACAGTTTACTTATATATGATGACAATTTAATAAAAATTTATGAACTAAAATTAAAAACTAAACAAAAAATTGCAATAATCACAACACCTCGGATTCATTCAGACAGATATACAGATAGAAATGCTGGGGAAACAACCATCTCAAATCAAAATATATTCAGCCATAAATAACATATCATCCATTGTAGCTGCTGACTCAAAAAACCAAAATTTTCGAATGTGAAGACATTTCCGTAGTAATAGCTTCCTCTAAACACCAAAAATCGTCATAATCACAACAGCACAGATTAATTCAGACAGATGACAGACTGAACTGCTGGGGAAACAACTCTCTCAAATTAAATATATTCAGCCATATAACATCTTCCATTATAGTTGTTATCTCTAAAAACAAAAAATTTCAAATATGGAGAAACATGCAATAAAAAAAGTCACTACTGAAACACATCTTACCGTTCCATGATGATTCATACATCAAGCAAATTTGATAAACTGGACTAAAACATCAAAATTTATTAATCCCAGCCAGTGGAAGGGACTGAGACTGGATCCCAACCAGTGGGAGGCACAACACCAGCAGGAGGCAAATCATTGTCTGCATTTGGAGCCGCGGCGCCATCCCATTCAGCAGGTGCTACAAAAGTTGAAAATTAAATGGTAAAACAAGAATTTAATCATTTGGAAAACATGGAATGCAGAACATAGATTTAGCATAAATTTAGCATTTGGAAAACATGTGCAGAATATAAATTTAGCAAGTTGCACATTATATCCATAATTCATGAGATGCTTATAGCTAAAAGGAATGCCCAATTTATTTTCAAATTTGTTATCATAGATTCACAGTAAAGCAGGTGCAAAAATAAGCCCCTTCAATTTATAAAGAGGAAATCAACCGCAAATGGCATTGGATTTATAGTTGGCAAAGGAGACGCAGAGAAATGGTGTTTCACAGTAGAAATTTTAGACAAATTATTAAGAAAGTAGGCATTAAAAATTAGGGTCATTTACTTAAATTCCACACAATTCTTATATATGTACATGTTTAACATCTAAACTTTAATATTTACATAAATGCCAAATCTTTAAAATTAAATAAAAAATACCACTATTATTAACTCTTTAAAAGTGAAATACACAATCGCATGCATGTTTTAACCTTAATTTTTAACACCAAAATGTTAAATTTCAAACTTTAGAGGTTAAAATACATATGAATTGTAGTATGTATGTAAATTTCCCTAGAAATTTGGATGATCCAACATTCAATTGCTCATTATACTATTGAAGGTGGTCTGTGGGTTTATCTTCCAAAGTTGCTAATAATATGAAATGAAATATTGCTACAAAAGAAGCGAACCTACAAGAGTTTTCCTCAAATAACAACTATAGTAATCTAGTAAAGTTGTCGGAGGCAAGTAGTCCTTTAAAATATGAAAGATAAAATTGTTGTATTCATCGTTTGATTATTTATTAATGGTTTCTTTGTTTGGGAGCTTATTTGTATGATTTTCAGTCTATACAATTAATTACCTCAAGATATGTGTATAGATATAACGATATCTTTTTGGAGACGATAATCCAATTCATATTTCTTTATAGTAAATTTCGAGCATACAGAAATTAAGTCCAACGACAAAAGAATAGGTAGACCCGTATTCTTGTTGACAAACTCAATAGTTTATCAGGTAATAAAAATAGCTTTTCTCTGCAAGTGATAAGGAGGTGGCTAAAAGAATCAAGAAAAAGTAAATGCCTAAATTAAGTTTTAAAATTTCACGCTCTTTACAACAGTCCCAACTATTTATTGGCGTGGGTAGCAAGGAGGGAGGGGGCTACTTCAATCTTGAAAATAATAGCTTCATCACAAGAGGTATACTCCTATTTAAAATCCTCTTTTCATGCTTCTTTTACCTGCATTTACAGCTATTAAACTGAGTTAGCTACTTGCTTACATACATACATACAACAACAAATCTTTGTCCCACTAAGTGGGGTCAGCTAAATGATTCCTTTTTTCCATTGTGTTCTATTGAGTGTCATATTTTCATTTAATTCTAATAAATTAAGATCATTTTGGTACATGTCCAAGTCTTTTTAGGTCTACCCCTACCTTTCCTAACACAAGTCAAATTTATAGCATCTACTCACATAACAAGGTCATCAGATGGTCGACGTCCAAACCAACCAAGGCGACTCTAATATTGTTTGTCACTGGAGCTACTCCAACCCTTTCCCAAAGTGTAACGCCACCAATCCACTGACCATCCTCATCTCAGCAACGCTTAATTTTATGTTTATCTTAATTTTATGTTTTTACAGGCCAACATTTTGCACCATAAAACATTGCCAGGTCTCACCACCATCTTATAAAATTTTCCTTTAAATCTAAGCGGCATTTTTCTATTATACAATAGGACTAATGCATTCCTCCAGTTGAACCGTCCAACTTGAATTTTACTAATAAAATCCCAATCTATATAATGATCACTTTAAAGTCAAAACATCTCATCATTTTTTTAAATGTTTCATGGCTACAGCTCCAATACTGTCATATCAGTATATGAGAAAGATTGAAAAAAGCTAAAGAATAAATTAAAATAAATAAGCAAAATCAAACTTATGAAAATTAAAATTAAATAATATAATAGATGATTGTCACAACACATTATCTGCATATTATGCAAATTTTAAATGGAATTCTAAATGAAAATTACAAAATATTTTCTTAGATATTCATATTTGTTGCCTACACATATAGCATCTAAAATTTTATCTTGAAAAAGCAATCAAATCTTAAAGTCGGCGAAGGAAGCATTTTCATATGCATTGTAGTGCTTGTCTCCTAAACTATATAATTATTATGCAAATTTTATGCAATATTATGCAAATTTTAAAATTTAAATATTATGCAAATTTTAAATGGATTAAGTACTGAGCTTATAGTTGATAAGATTTATATAATTAGTTTTGTAAAAACATCCAAGACAAAGTTAATGAGAATTATAGGTGTGGTTCACCGACGTAGATCACCCACAAGAAGGCATGTTATACATATTCCTCTACCTGTTGGAACTTTAATTTTTGTAGAACAGATATTTCCGGGCAAATAAAAAAAATGATGTTAAAAGAGAGGCAGCATATTACATCTTTCCTAGAAATAAAGAAAGAGATAACAATAAAATATGTGGTATTTTGGATTTAATTAATGAAGTAGCTAATATTATTTCAAAAAAAGTACCCAACATATACCTTATATTTCGCAAAATAAAAAGGATGGTAGTTGTCAGAACAATTTGTACCAACTACGTTACTGCAGAGATAACTAAAAAGATGAAAAAAATTTGATAAAAACATGGTGTGAATGAAACTTAAGTGTTGTTAAGAATCTAAGAATGAGACATCTAGGCTTAAATTTGCATGTCCAATGATTAAAAATGTTAGTAAAAGACAATTTTATACATACAAATTTTATTAAAAGAGCTATACGAATAGCTTGTACTTTGAACAATAGATTAAAGTGAGTGGCACACTTAGAGTTTGCATATCGTGTGCAAGGAATAGTACAATGGCTAGAGAAGATGGGGAATAGAGAAATACAATGATTGGCATAATTTCACATATAATAAATAAACAAGCAAAAGGAATATAAAATACAACATGGATAAATATTTTCCTGAGTTTCCTATACTGCTTTGTGGACGGAATTACAAAATATTTGCTCTCGAGTTTTTTGTTTTAGTGTAAATTTTCAATATTCATACCAAATGAAGGATTAAAAGAAATGAACAGAGTATTATCATACGAGAGCAGGGAATTTAACACAATTAGAATCTACCACATCACATTAAACAAAAAAGGTAAAAAGTCTAAACAATAACATCAACAAGCAAGCATATGAATACACAAAAATATAACCTAGCAAAATACAACAACCTCAAACATGGCAAATCACAAAAAACTCCGTAGAGTGCATAATATATCATAAAAAAGCAGCTATCAGTCCTTATCATCCCAAACATAATACAGACTTGTGTACATTTGCTAGCTTGTTGATGTTAATTTTTGTACCTATTACCTTTTTTTGTTTCATGTGATATGATAGATTCCAGTTGTGTTAAACTACCTACTTTTGTATGATATATTATGTTCATTTGCTGTAATCATTCATTTGGTATAAATATTGAAATTTTACATTAAAACAAAAAGTGAGACAGCAGATATTTTGTAATTCCCTCTATAAAGCAGTATAGAAAGCTCAAGAAAGAATTTTGGAGTTTTACGGCTCAATTATGTTGCGTTTTGGGTTTAATTTCAATTTCTCTGACCTGCATGATATTTACTTAAACCTCTTTCCCAATTGATGATATTGTCCAGCCTATGAAGGAGGATGAGGAAAAGAGTGACGGTGGAGAGGATGTATGATGTTACTTATTCCCAGAATTTTGTTTCTCTAAAATCCTAGTGTGTTGACTTTCTCTCCACTGTTACTCTTCTTGGACAATATCTTCAAATTGGGAAGGAGTTTTAAGAAGCAAGCAAAGAAATATCATGCAAATCAAGAAAAGATTGAAATCAAACCCAAAAAGCAGCATAACTGAACATTAAACTCCATTTTTTTTTTCTTGAGTTTCATATACTGCTTTGCGGAGGTAACTACCAAATATTTGCTCTAGCGCTTTTTGTTTTAATGTAAACTTTCAATATTCATACCAAATGAAGGATTACAAAAAATGAACATAGTATATATCATACGAGAGCAGGGAATTTAGCACAACTGGTCTACCATATCACATTAAACAAAAAAGGTGATAAGTCTAAACATTAACATCAACAAGCTAGAAAATGAATACAACAAAATATAGCCTAGTAAAAAACAACAATCTCCAAACATGACAAATCACAAGATGCTCCACATAAAAAATAGAGTAATCAGTCCATCATTCCAAACATAACATGCAAATCCATAATTTAACACAATATGATCACAGCTCGGAAACAAAAATCTAGAAATCATTCACATAACACATCCTCTCTACCATCACTGTCTTCCATCAGTGTATTCTCTCTACCATCACTTATCACATTAAACAAAAAAGGTGATAAGTCTAAACATTAACATCAACAAGCTAAAAAATGAATACAACAAAATATAGCCTAGTAAAAACAACAATCTCCAAACATGACAAATCACAAGATGCTCCACATAAAAAATAGAGTTATCAGTCCACATCATCCCAAACACAACATGCAAATCCATAAGTTAGCACAATATGATCACAGCTCGGAAACAAAAATCTATAAATCATTAACATAACACATCCTCTCTACCATCACTGTCTTCCTCATCCCTCCTCCATAGGCTAAACAATAATGTTAAAAAAGCTCAAATGGGGATCAAGACCGATATTTCATTGCTCCCTTAGATGATCTTTGCACTAATATTCAAAGAATTCTAACCTTTCAAATAGCTACAAAGGAGGATGAAGAAGAGAGCAATGGTAAAGAGGATATGTTATGTTAATGATTTCTAGATTTTTATTTTCCTGGACTGTGATCCTGCTATGTTGACTTGTGGATTTGCATATTATGTTTGAGATGATGTGTACTGATAACTCTATTTTTTATGTTATATTATATACTCTGTGAAGCGTCTTGTGATTTGTCATGTTTGGAGATTGTTGTGTTTTGCTATGTTACATAATAGGTGAAAAAGATAATGCACGCATATGCTATAATATATTAAAATTGCTATACAATGCACTCTGTTGATCAATTTATATAATAGGTGACTATTCTACTGGAATTCCAGATCGCTGTCTCATGCTTCTCAAACTATTTACGAAAGCTAATTAGTCTAAACTTTTCTTTTCTTTAGACATTATGTGAATGGTTACCTTTGGGTAATTTTTTTATAAACCTATTTATAGGTGAATACAACTACCTATAGACTCTAAATTAATTTAAAGCCTGCCTTATTGATAAGAAAGACATTTGGCACTTCCTCAAAAATGCCCTTGTACTGCGAGTAAAAAAAATTATCTACAAGACTGTTAATTATTTCAAGGCTCATCTCGAATTAAAGAAACAGTTCTTTAATGTTTCTTTTGTTCATCTTCAACTGAAACTCAAAATGCATGTGAGAGCATTTATATATTAAAAGCATTTTATGTAAAGCGGTGAAATAAGGTTCCGGGAATCAACCAAGCCATAAAACTCCAAAATTCTTTCTTGAGTTTACTATACTACTTTGTGGAGTTAATAACAAAATATTTGCACTTGCACTTTTTGTTTTAATGTAAAGTTTCAATATTCATATCAAATAAAGGATTACCGGAAATGAACAGAGTATATATCAGACGAGAGCAGAGAATTTAACACAATTAGAATCTACCATATCACATGAAACAAAAAGGTAATAAGCCTAAATATTAACATCAACAAGCTAGTACATGCATACACAAAAATATAGCATAACCAAACACAACAATCTCCAAACATAACAAATCACAAGATGCTCCACAGAGTGGTTAATATAACATAAGAAAAAGAGTTATCAATCCACATCATCCCAAACATAATATGCAAATCCACAAATCAACACAGTAGGATTCAGTCCAAAGAAAAAAAAAATCTAGAAATTGTTAACATAACACATCCTCTCTACCGTCACTCTCTTCCTCATCCTCTATAGGCTGGACAATATCGTTATAAAGCTCAAAGGGTAGAGCCATTGGAAATTGCACGGAATCAAAACCGATATTTCTTTGCTCCTTTTGATAATCTTTGCATTAACAATTTAATATATAACATTTGCGTGCATTATCTTATCATCTATTACATAGCCTAGCAAGACACAACAATCTCCAAACATGACCGATCGCAAGATGTTTCACTGAGTGTGTAATATAATATAAAAAATAGAGTTATCAACCCATATTATCTAACATGCAAATCCACAAATCAGCACAGTAGGATCACAGTCCAGAGAAACAAAAAATTTGGAAACCATTACATAACACATCCTCTCTACCGTCACCCCCTTCCTCATCTGCCTCCATATGTTGGATAATATCATTATAAACCTCAAATGGTAGAGCCATTGAAAATTGAATGGGATCAAAACTGAAATTTCTTTGCTCCCTTCGATGATCTTTGCACTAATGTTTAAAGAGTTCTAACCTTCAAGATAGCTATGAGGATTGCATTTTGTCATCTTGAGATATCTTTTACATAAATAATAGCTTAATCAATATAAATTATATAATTTTATAAATTAAAATAAAAATTCAAAAATTCAGTGAATCTAATTAAAATAAAATGTGACTCAAATTAACTAAATATATCACAAGTATCTTCTTTATAATTGATCAATTACATAAACTTAACAAAATTTGAATTTTTTTTTAAAAAAAATCTGAAATATATGAAATCAAATAAATTATCCAACATAAAAATATCAAAAAAGAATATTCAAGATATCATAAATTAGCCAAAAAAAAGTTGATTCAACCAAATGAGTGGCATCCTATAAAAAAAGAATAGGTAGGATCTACCGTATCAAATGAAACAAAAAAAGGTAACAAGTCAGCATTAACATCAACAAGCTAGCACATGAATACACGATATAGCCTTGCAAAACACTAACAATCTTCAAACATGACAACTCACAAAATGCTCCATAGAGTGCATAATATAACATAAAAAAATAGAATTACCAATCCACATCATCCAAACATAACATGCAAATCCACAAGTCAAAACAATAGGATCACAGTCTGGAGAAACAAAAAACTAGGAATCACTAACATAACACATCCTCTCCACCATCAGTCTCTTCCTCATCCTCCTCCATATGTTGGATAGTATTGTTATAAAGCTCAAATGGTAGAGCTACTGAAAATTACACCGAACCGAGGCCGATATTTCTTTGCTCCTTTCGATGATCTTTGCACTAATGTTCAAAGAATTCTAACCTTTTAGGTGGTTATGAAGAGTGGCAATATTGTCATTTTGAAAAATCTTTTACATAAATAATAGGTTAATCAATATAAATTATATAATTTTATAAATCAAAATACAAACTTAAAAATACAGTGAATCTAACTAAAACAAAATGCTGCTCAAATTCACTAAATATAACGTAAGTATTCTCTTTATAATTAATCAATTAGTTAAACTTAACAAAATTTGAAATTTTCAAATAATAACGTAAAATATATAAAATCAAATAAATTAGCCCACATAAAAACTCAAAAAAGAATATTCAAGATATTATAAATTATCCAAAAGAAGTTGATTCAACCAAACGAGTCACAACCTATAAAGAAAGAATAGGTCGGTATAAAATTCAGTAAAAAATTGGAGTAAACGGGCCCTACAGGAAATGTGTGGATAGACCATCTCGAAAGAACTAGTGTTACGACATGCATATTTAGGTATGAACTAATTGTAATTACACTTATCTCTCATGGCAAATGCAAAAAGATAAGGATAGGTTCATAGCTTGTTTTCTTTTAAATGTGCCAAGCAATCAAAGCAGATTTATTCTAAAAAAAATGGAGAATAGTTGATAGTTCAAACCTTGAGGAGAGGCCCATTCGGCACCACCAGGTGCAACCAAGCCCGTGGCTCCCACATCAGGCATTTGCAAAATCGGTAGGCCATTGTTCAGAAGGTAAAATGCCACCATATTCAGCTATAGCAGCATACTCAGGGGCAACAGGAGCCTCCCCTTCTTCCTGCTGCTCCTTGGCTTCCTCAGGATCTCTGTGAAAGAAGAGATCAACCTATGTGCACCATTGATAAAATTTAATTAGTAACTAACATCCACATCATACAACATGTCAGCATATAAATCAAAGCATCCTTGAAAGGCAAGTTATTTCCTGATATCATGAAAAATTTTAACATTAACCAATAAATAAACAACAAAATTCACACTTTGGAATCAATTACATGATTATTGCTGCAAAGATAATCAATAGAAAGACAAAAAAAAAACAAATATTTAGTCAAGCTATAGATGAAGTCATTAATGCATAAATAAATATGAAGATCTAAACTTTTCAAAAAAAATAAAAATAAAAGCAAAAAACAAAACATGAGAACTTACCATAACATCCCACTTGTGGCCCGGAGCAATAGTATTCCTCATCTGAAGGACCATCCTTGCCAGCAACCAGAAGAGACAACCTATACTGTGTTTTCCCTTGTTATTAGCCGGAATTCCAATGTCAACAAATCGCATTGGTGAATCAGTATCACAGAAGGCAATTGTTGGAATGTTTCCAAGAGCAGATTCCTTAATTGGCTGCGGAATATAAACATTCAGAGCAACTAAGCTAACATTTTAACAAAGCAACCCTATATAAGAAACAGAGGGAAAACATGCCTGGTGATCAGTCCTTGGATCAGTCAGAATAAGCAGACGGGGCTCACTAAAGGATGTTTGGAGCTGGTTAGTAAAGGTTCCAGGCGTGTGCCTCCCAGCAATAGGGTGAGCACCAGTGTACTGCGCAAACTTCAAGACAGCTCTTTGACCATAAGGTCTAGCAGATTGAACGATTATGTCCTGGGGGTTCTCAATGGCAACAATTACTCTAGCCGCAAGTTGTATCTTTTCCCAAGTTCAAGATTTTCCAAGATTAATTATGTATATCCCTAAATTTTAAGGTAAAAATGAGATTTCAGAATAATAATGTCAGTATATGAAGCTAAACTAACAAATAATTTAACTATGCAGGAATGATAAAGATAATGACAGGAAATAATGAAAGCCACATACACCGATTCATAGATCGAAAACCCCATACCTTGTATGTCAAAAACAGTATCCACAAAATTTATTCAGAACAAAAATGACACCAAATGGCCAATAGGATCCAATATGAAAGAACAAAAAACTTTGATGCTACTAAAACTATTGCTATACGATCAACAAGAGGCTCCATAAACAAATCATCCAATTTGAGATTGAACAAATCGACCCTAGGGCATCGAAAATTATACGAAAAGTAAGAAAAAAATCAATTACATGGAACCGCAACATAGATACGGGATCGTTCCAGAATTCAGAGTTCCAACTTATAAGAAATGCTTACCTTTCTAAGTGGCGTCTCTTTAAGCTATGGATACAGGCGCAGAAAGAGCAGGGATTGCGAGCTTACCGTCACTCCTTCGCTTGTATACGTAGCGCTCCATCTGGTAGTCGCAATTTTTGGTTCCTAGGTGCACGTGCGCAGCCAACATCATTTGAATGTCCTGCTCCTTCTGAGAGAGCACCCTCGTCGCCATGTCTGAAGAACTTGATCTGAAGTTAGGGTTAGGAGAATTGTGAACGGCGCCCTCAGATTAGAATGCTGAAAGATTGTTTTTATACTCGGATTCTAGAGCCCTAATTAGATATTATATTTACATGCTGAAACATTTGCATGCTTTGATATTAGATTAAAGTATGCATACTTATTTTAGTAATTTGTGTGTATACCATAAACTTTTATATATTTACATGGTTAACACATCACTTTCATTTTTATAAATATAACACAATTCTTTGATATTAGATTAAAAATGTCATTACTCAATGTTGAAACATTTACAATGACAACTAATAAATTAGCATATTAGCATTGCACGAAAAATTAAACACACAAGTAAATAATAAAGAAGCAACATGCTTGCTCGTCATGATTTTACAGAAGAGAAAAAGTCACTAAGTCGAGACCCAAAAATTAAGTGAGTTGAAGGGTTGTTCGTGCTCGGCTCCTTCAAATTTTTTATTGTTCGAGTTTGGCTCTATTGAATATATTGTTCAAATTTGACTTATGTTCATAATAACTCCTAAATAGTCTATTCATGCTTATCATAACCAGGAGTTTTGTTATTTAAATTATTGAATTAAATTTTATATATTAATTGTACATATTCTTTCCTTATAGCTGAATGACTAGATTTTGAATATATATTTTTACAAATTATTATGTATTATTAGGATACCTAAAATAGATCGTGGAAACCATTATTTATTGAAATGAAAGCTAAGAAAAAAGACATTCAGCCTATTTGCTAAAAACTTTGACGATGCTCAACTTATCTAAACTTGTTTAGTCGAATTGGCTCGTGTTCGACTCATTTAAATATTTAAAGAGCAAACTCAAATTTAAAGTCATAAATAAAAAAAAACTTATGTAATTATTTACAAGCCACTTTGGATTTATGGAGCTCCAAAGTTCAGCTAGTTCTCAAATGTCCCCCAGGAGAGTGAAATAAATATTGGGATAGAGATTAATGATATTTACATATATACCATCCAATTTTAAAGTAGTTTTTTTGGATATTTACACAGCTACCACTAGGGCATTCAATTTGACTCGTTATTTGCGAATAACTCATGTTCGACTCCTTAAGCAGCTCATGGTTGGCTTGTTCGTTAAGCCTAACGAGCCGAACATGAACAAATTTTTAAGCTCGAAATGTAAATGAGCAGAACATGAACAAATATTTGTTTAATCTTGTTCGGCCATAATTGACTCGAATATATATAAAGAAATATTCATAAAATTTAAATATTATAAATTATAATTAATTAAAATTTATACAAATATTTTTTTAGAAAATTTATTATTATATTTTTATTTAAAAAATTAATTATTATAATAATTTTATATTCTAACAAGTCAATTTTGAGCCGAACAAGAACATGAATAAGTTTTTCGAGCCGAACTTTAACACTGTTCACGAGTCATTTCGAACACGAGCCAATTTCAAACCGCCGAACAAGAGCCAAGCTGGTTTAGATCACTAGCTACAACCCAAATTCTATGTAACTAACATCTAAACTTTTATATTTAAATTATACCATCAAATAATTTTAAAAAATAATAAAATTTATTTTTTTTAATTCTTATAAAATTAATATAAAGAAAAGATAAGTAAATATAATTATCTAATTATTTCAAATAAATATAAATGAATAAATTTTTATTCTAATCTAGCTCAAAAAAAATAAAAATAAATAAATATTGTACATCATTTATTAATTTAGCGCAAAAAACAAAAATACATAATGGACCGTTCTCTAAATAGGAGTTTTTTTTAAATAGCCTTGTTATCTTTTCTTGCCCGCAAAAGCTTAGCCGTGCCCTAAGTTTACCTGTCGCCTCAACTCTTCCGCTTCGTGCTCGGCTCGCTGTTTTCCAGTCGTCTCCGTTCGCTCTTCCCCGGCGCAAGGTGCGTTTTTCAATTTGATTTTGTTTTTCCAACTTATTGGGTAAAGATCGAAACGTATTTTTGGAATTTATTTTACTGTAATCGTCTTTATAATTGTATGCGAAGAACAGCTAATCTCGATTTTCAGAAGACGAAGAGACGGGATATTGCTTTTACTAAAATTAAAAAAACGCAAGAATCTTCTGTAAGATGCTCATAAAACTTCCTTTTTTGCGCGTCATTTTGCGTCTTCCTGGCAGTTATGTATTTCTTGTCATCCAAGCGCGAGGAAGACCAATTTTCACGTCTTTAGCTGCTTCATTTGGAACAACATAGCATCTCTCTATGATTCTTTTCTAATGGTGATGTTAGATTCGTTTGATTTTGCTTCATCATCATCATCATCAATTTCGTCGTTTTCTTCTTATTCTTTTGACCTGCGCTGCAGTCGCTTTTCCATTCTTTCGTTCTTGTTTCTATCCCTTTCTTAGGTATTGGTACACATAGGGAAGGATCTTTGTGGAAAGTCTGTTTTTTAATCTTGTATTTTGTTTATCAGTTCTACTAATAGAATTTAAAACTTTCCCATCAGATTATTATGATGTTTTTCTTTTGAATTTCAAGTGTCCCCCCAGATTTTATTCATTCAGCTGAGGTCTGATATAGTTGATTTTTGGTTAAAATGATAGTTTTTGCATTAGAATTTACTTTAGACGACATTTTTGCTGTTTAGTTCTGTTTCTCTCCGAAATTTTTGTTGGCGGTTTAATTAGATCTTAAACATTAACCGAAGCTTGGAGCCTTCCATGGGAATATTTAAACTCCGTGGAGATTATCCTATAAAATTATGTGAATTGCTTTTCAGTTACATGATATGAAACTGGCCTGCAGAACCCCCAACATTTTTAATGGCTCTGTAATGAATCTTGCTCCCAATAATTGGATACTGTGAATTAAGAGACACCCACTGCATTTATAATGGTTTCTTTTATATATAGAAATCTCATTTGGTTGTTAAGTCTCTATTTTTATACTTCTATCTTCTTTCTGTAACTTTTAAAATGCACTTATTATTGAAGAAGTCCTTGAAGATTTATTTTCTTTTGTAAAAATTCTGTTTAGTGTTATGATATTCTTGTCAGCAAATAAAAGGCGTTATTTTTTTTTTCTTTCGCTTCAAATGGATTAAATTGAAGATTTAATTGTCTGGGTAGTGTTGAAAGTTCCATCTTAGAGATGCTATATAAGAAAGATCTAGTCTCTTATTTCAACCTCCCTTTCCCTTGTTTTGTTTTTGCTCGATCTTGTCTTTTGTCCATGTGTAAATTATTTGCTCAATAAGTCTTTGTATTTATCAGTGCTAGCATGGAGAATGATTTATGTAATTGATTAATATCTTTCTTATGCTTATATTAATACACTAACAACATAGTTTAAGATGTGTGCTTGTTTATGGAAGCTTAATTTTTTTTGGAATTTGAACCAAACTATTACTTCTTTACTTTAGGGGCATCATGTCAAGGTTATTTTGAGAGTTAAGGGAATCATTGATTGTAAATTTTACTTTTGGGTTCTCAAAATATACATATGTGATAATCTGCAGGGAAAGTAATTTTTTGTGCGTGAGCTTGATTAGTGAAATTCAATATGGCTGCTTCTGAAAGAACAGTTTCATTTTCTTCACTTTCTGATGTCAAAGAAAATCAGTGCAAGAAAAACTTTACTTGTAATTCTCAGGGCGTCATGGAAGATCATACTCTCCAATCAGGGCGAAAAGCATTTAGTCGAGATTACGAGCATTCATATTCAGTCGAATCTGACTTTTTTGACGGAGACAGTTCAGACGAAGATCACTATGTCTCAGCACAACGATCTACGGCTGAGCCTGAAGTGAATTTGAAAAATGTAATAAGCGGAATAGCTGCAATTCTAATGGGACGAAGTAAAGGTCTTGCTAGCATTCAACCTCAACAAAATTTTGGCTCAAGCGTGTCATTTCTTGGCTACGAAAAGGATGGAGGGAGTTATTTGCATTCGTCTGTCTGCATACCAAGTGCTCCTCCATTGCTCGAGCCAGAAGCTATCAATTATAGTGCATATAGAGATGTTCTTGAAGCGGAGCCTCCAGAATGGTTGCCAGATAGTTCTACCACAGTCTGCATGCAATGTTCGTCTCCTTTTACAGCCCTTACACGGGGAAGACATCATTGTAGGTTTTGTGGAGGTATTTTTTGCAGAGGATGCACAAAAGGGAGATGCTTGCTGCCCGTTAAGTTTCACACGCGAGATCCTAAAAGAGTTTGTGATGTTTGTTTTGAAAGGCTCGATCCTTTGCAGAGTATATTGATAAATTCAATTAGCAATGCAGTGCAGTCTGCAAAACATGATGTTACGGATTGGACTTGCACCAGAGCATGGTTGAATTTACCTTTGGGTTTGTCAATGGAACATGAAATATACAAGGCGGCTAATATTTTGAGGAGTTACTCGAAGGTGAGCCATTTGCGATTTCATTCATGACTTATGAGTAAAGTGCAAAACTAGCCCTTCGACTGTTTGCATGTAGTCATTTTAGTCTCCACGGCATATAAAAATGTCAATTCAGTCCCAAAGTTATTTTAATATAGGCTGATATAGTCGCCACGGAGGACTATTTCAACTCCGGTTTAAAAAGTCTGGGACTAATTACCACTTTTATAGACTATGGGACTGAAATGGCTCCATGTAAAAGGACAGGACTATTTTGACACTTTACTCTATCATTTCTCTTTTCTTTGAAGTTTTTACCTTTGATTTCAACATTTTTAGCATGCATCCTATGTTCTTCTCTGAGTTTTACATGATCAATTTTAGTGAAGTTGAACGATGCATTATTGCAATGCTGTTGATCAATCTGTAGGTTGCACGACTAAATCCAGAGAAGTCCATTCCGCAAGCAGTTTTGAAGGATGCTAAAGGGCTTGCGATTCTAACAATGGTTAAAGCTGGCACAGTAATTTCGTATAAGTTTGGCACAGGTCTTGTGGTATCTAGAAGGATGGATGGGACGTGGTCGGCTCCATCTGCCATATTATCTGTTGGTCTAGGATGGGGAGCACAGGTAATTGTGCAGTAATATGACATTAATCTCTGCTAAAACATCTTGCATGAATATTTAGCATAATGATCTATTATCCAGTTTAACATTGACTAGCTGGATGCTTTCTTTGTAAATGGTTTTACTGCCCAGAAGTTACTAGGGAATTCTGTTATTTTCCGTAGTTCCTCGAATTATTTGGGTGATATTTTGTGGACAAAGCAAGTATTTGTTATGCTTGGTAGCAATGTTGATTTCATGCAAAGATTTGAGACCAAAGACCCAGACTTTTTTTTTTCTTAATGCATGGTTCATTTTTTCTTCATTTGATTCCCTAATCATATAGAATCTGATAAGATTGGATTGTGTTGTATAATTAGATCTCACTGAGAACCCGTGTGGCTTCGAGCATACATTTTTGCTCATGACAAGTTTATTTGGAACACACTGGTTTGTTATCATGAAGGTATCTCAACGGTTTCATCTTTTTTCACATAGTTGCCGAAACATGGATAGAAATATTAGAATTTTTCACTAGTTTCTAAGGTTTGTAAAAGATGCATTATTTGCCCTTAAATATTTTCCTTCTCGTTTTCATATCAGCGAGGTTTCTCTTCTATTTTTCTCATCGTTCTTCTATTTTTGTCTTTTTGTTTTATTTCAGACATCTCAAACTTTAAATAAAAATCAAATCAATTAGAAGAAATCCATCCCATCCCATCAAAGGAATAGAAGCATTATATATTTTGTATCCAACTCGAAACTTCCAGATGTTCCTTTTGATCACAAAGCTTTGATGGAGAAATTTTATATATGTATCATCACAGCCCCTTTGCTATTCCCTTTATAAGGTTTTGAGGCTGTGGAAACAAACTTATTAGCCAAGAACTTATGGGATTTAACCTTGAAGTCGAGCAATAAAATCTAGCTATAGTTTTGCAGAGATTTCAGGCAGGAGTATGGGTAAGAAATCACATAGCAATGTTTGAATAAATCTGACTCATATATTCAGGGCTTTTAATAATATCCCATATAGGGATTATACTTCAAATATTTTGTATAGAGAGAGAGAGAGAGAACCCTCCCTCAATTAAACACGAAGGTTGACCAAGAAATTGCAGTAAATTCGGTATATCAATGGTGAATTTGTTAAATCTAATTATAATTTTATGTCTTTCTACTATGCTTCAACATGATTTTAAAATGTTTTTTACCCTGTAACGTCTGTCTTTTTCTTGTTCTGCTGCATCTTTACTAGCTTATTTTTTTGTACTATCAAACCTATCATTGTACATTAAAGTCTCATTGAATATAATTTTAATGCTCCTGATGATCTTTTGATTTTATCATCTAAAATTGATAGCCATTTTCAAGCACTTCATATCCAATGAAGTGGCGTCTGTAGATTCTATTTACTCCTCAAAAAGTTATCCAAACTAATTAGGTGAAAATTTTAGGCCTACCTGATTTTAGATGAATTTAAGCTCTACCTATTTACAAAATAAGTTCATACTGACAGCATTTTGCTCCCCGCACACTTTTATACTGAAAAGTTCTTTGCTATAAGCTCACAGGAACTCTCAGATTATCAAACTATTACTTGAAGAGAACAACACATTCTAAACATTGAATCTGTGTATTAGTTTCAGTTATCACACCAAAGATATCCACCTGGATTATTTTTTGCTAGCTTGAAATATCTACTGCCAATATATTTTGTTTCCCAAATATATTAAAAGACCTAAAGCATGAAATGCTTTTTTTTATATATTATTTCCATTAAAATGAATCTGACATGTTTTTTCAATTCATTCTATGGAAGGCACAAGTTTTAAGAACAACCTGTGTCTTATAACTGTATTGTAACATAAGCCTACTTCAGTTGGCTTATTTTGGGTTGAGAAACTTGAATTGTATTGCTTTGTGCTCAATAGATTCACAAATGGAGACCTTTTTAATGAAGATTTACATACATGCCAATTAATTTCTATGTATTTATGTATCGAACACCTTAGCTTCAATTTTTACATACACCACCACTTTTTCTATGCATGAAAAAGTGTATTTTCCTTTTTAATAGTTAACATGTTGGTGTCTTTTATGTGATGTGAAAGATTTGGGTGGTATAAATGTAAAAAACTTTTGGTGTTAGATATGTAAATACATAGGAATTGCGTTGAATATATGTAAATGTCCCTTTTTTCAATGCAGCGGCTTATTATTTGACTCTGTTATGTAGATTGGAGGAGAGCTGATGGACTTCATTGCTGTACTTCACGACTCTGAAACTGTGAAGACATTTTGCAGTAAAATGCATTTTTCACTTGGAGCAGGTTTAAGTGCTGCAGCAGGTCCAGTTGGTAGGGTTTTAGAAGCAGATCTCAGGGCTGGAGATAGAGGACGCGGGGTCTGCTATACTTACAGCTGCAGCAAAGGTGCCTTTTTTTTTTTTTCTTTTGGCCATGCTAGACAGACTTGAATTGTTCTTTTAGTTTTTTTTTTTGTGATTTTACTTTTTATCCAATGATTCTCACTGGGTGCTGCTTGGGGGATGTTAAGTCGCAGGAAACTTAACATTACATAGCACAAAATTGTTTTGAATTATATATCTCATTCTTAAACTTACATATGCAAAACTTTGGTCCTTTAAACTTCCGTATGAAAATGTGTATTTTACTTTAAAGAAGTGATAATAAAGTTATTTTTGATGTGATATTAAAGTTTTGAGTTTTTGTGTGCCATGAATATGAATATGAATATGAATGTTTAGGTGTGAGTAATGTAACTACATAAGAATTGTGTGCTATTTTTGTAAATGCCACGAATTTTTTACTTCAGAGTTCATGGTTTGTTTGCGGCAACTATATCTATAGCAATATTTGAAATTAGTTGTATTGTCTTGAAAAAAGTAATTTTGTTAAAAAGCTTTTGCAAGTATTATAATTTTTTTTAATTGTTATTAAGAAATTGAACAGCAACAGCTTTTTATAACAGCTATGTGGAAGAACTGTTTCACACCATAAAAAAATTCTGAAAAAACTGTAAAAAGGTTATAATCAGAAGAAAAAACTATTTTCTTGCTTCAGCATCATGCAACTCTGTATTTTGTTATGGAGTTAGGAGTTTGATGAGTAAGCATGATATGCAATCTCAGCTGAAACCTGGAACAGGTGCTTTTATAGGGGTTTCAATGGAAGGAAACGTTGTGTTTACGAGGATGGATGCGAACCTGCGTTTCTATGGTGATCCTTATCTGACTACGACGGACATTTTACTGGGTACTGTGGAGAGGCCAAAGGCTGCAGGTCCACTCTATGCTGCTCTTCATGACCTTTTTAACTGTATATGAAATACTTTTTATTTTTAGAGGTAAAAATTGAAGATTTCGTTAAATAAACCAGTAAAAAATTTGTATTCCTGAATTTGTTCATATCTGTTTTGGGGACCGCCGTTGTAAATATATTTCAGAATTCTGAAATATATTTCAGAATTCTGCAAAAAAAAAAAAAATGTTTGGTTTTGCAGAACGTTATTTGTACATATAAATTGTTCAAAATAAAATGTTATGTTGATAAAATATGTTGATTCTGATATGTTCATATCTGTTTTGGGAACTGGTGTTGCAAATATATTTCAGAATTCTGCAAAAAAAAGGAAAATGTTTGGTTTTGCAGCACCTTATCTGTACATATAAATTGTTCAAAATGAAATGTTGTGTTGATAAAAATGTTGATTCTGATATGATCCGGAACCCAAAACAGCATACAAACATGCTGATTTTATTAATACCAATGAAAACAAACAAAATAGATTGTTGATCTACTGTTTGAGAGGTAGATAATCTCTCCACAAATCCTAGACGATGCCGGGAATACCACCAAAAGAAAAAACTGCAGCCGAAACAAACATAAAAATAAACCCTAGTGACTTAGCCTTCCTAAATACTCTTAAAGATCATCTTCATATTTTCCCCTCAAAATATCCCTTTACTTCCTTTCCACCTGCATGTGATTAGCGGCTTAGTCGGCTTAGTGGGCCACAATTGCCGAAAATTTTCAAAGATGAGGCTGTGCCGAAAATTTGGTCTTTTGTTCCTCCTAAAATATCATTATATTATTTATCGCCCTAATCCCTCTCATGTTGGGTATAGAGGGCTAATTTGCCCCGCTCCCCTCAAAACATTCAAAAAAGAGGTCGGTTTCGTTTCTATTGTGCCGATTGGCTTTGTCAAGCTGTCGACTGGTCGGGATTGGTCTGGCCGGTTCACTTACAGTGAAGGAAGGCTCCTGCGTTCCTTCGACTAAGGGAGGCACGTGCTTATCCAGGACCCCCATTCAATCGTAGTGAAGGGAGGCGCGTGCATTCCTTCGTGTAGGCACGTGTGTATCAGATTTTTCGGTCTTTAGTAGCAGTTTTTTGGTGATTAAATTTAATGCCTTGCTTTGAGTTTATTGGCTTATTCTACAAATTCAAGGATTACTGTGGGTGTGATTTTATTTTGGTTTTGATTTCATTCCTTATGATCATCTGACCAATTGATTGTAGTTCAAGAGATTTTCAATGTATGTGAAGGTATTATTCGCCTTTTGAATTATTTTGATGTATTTGGGTCATTATAAAGTGGTGATGTTCCATTTACAGCCCTCACATACATTAAAAATCTCTTAACAATGGGTGGCCAACACTTCAATTTTTTTGGCTTTGAATTAATTTGGTGCTATTTATTTCTAACTTTAGGAAAAAATAATTGAAATGTGAATGGCATTCTCTTTAATTGCCGGTTCAGATTTGACTAGTTTGAAATTTTTAATAATTATATTTATTTATTTTTTTACTTTTTATTTTTAATTGGAAGATTAGTTTAACGAGTGTATAAATAAGTTAAAAATTTTAAGAAATATTTAACATTTTATATAAAATTATTAACAAAAATTCATATAAATATAAATAAATAAGCATTTTAAGTAAAATTCAAATTAGTGTTGAAGTGTTAATTTTTTTCTTAGATCAAATGATATGAATATATATTAGCAAATTAATATATTAAAAAAAAAATAACAAGAAATTATTTTAAATTAATATGCATATTTATAATAGATTGTAATATATTATTAATAAATAAATAATCAAATAAATTTTAGTAAATTAAATTTTATTTTAATGTTATAAAATGTAATTATAGATTAATTAATAAGTTAGTTATTAAATAACAAATTAATTTATTTATGAACATAAATAAACGAGTTAAATTATCTTTATATTTGGTTTATTTAATTATAAATTTTTTAAAAAATATTCAAATTCATTTTATTTATTAACTTAATCAAATTTGATGTAGTGTTAATAAGCCTAATTCAAGTAGCTCATCAAATGCATTGGTTCATTTACAGCCCTACAATCCAAGCCAAATTTAAGGTGAAATTTAATTCTTCCACAAATTCGCATAAACAAATAAATTGATTAGAATTAAATTCTTAAGTTTTTTCATAATTTCGTAGTGCTAAAATATAATCTAATAAATAAATAAATAATTCTATCTAAAAACCATTAACAAATATATTTTTATGTGAGAATTACATGCATGCCACTTGATTTTTATGTAAATACATATCTTACACCTAAACTTCAATTTTTACATATATGCCACCTCACACTTAGTGTTCTTTTGGTTCGGCGGGGGGATCGCGGCGGAGCACTGTTTTGGCAAAAAGCGGGCCACGGGATTTGAGCAGTAGCATATTACGCAACCGCCCCTCCTCCTCGTTGGACCAACTGCCCCTTCCAGTTCGAGCGAAAGCATTTTACGCCTTGCCCCTCCCCGTTCGAGAACTGTCAGCACTTACCGCAAGGGAACTCGAAGGGGGCGATGAAGGGTATTGAGGCTTCGGAGTGTAAGGTGGCGTTGGTGATGAGGAACTGCTCGATGTCGATGGAGTGGTGGAGAGGGACGCCGGGGAACTTGATGTTAGTGCCAAGGTAGATCCAGTCAGAGGTTCCGAGGGCGGCAGCGCCTACATGGCAGAGATGGGTTTGGGGACGGCTGAAGAGGCCTTTTATTATTTATAAAGAAAGAATTGCATGCTTATCATCACTACATTCTCATGTATTTAGAAATTTAACACCTAAAGTTCAATTTTTACATGTAGAACACCTAATTCATACATGAAAATGTGTATTTCACTTTTGATAAGTTAAAATAGTGATAATTTTTAAAAGGTTTGGGAGATGTAAATATCAAAAAAATTCCTACACAACATTACTTAATAGGAGCAGAATTATCATTTGTCCAGAAACAGCTGTCACACAGCTGTCTTCACACAGCTGCAACAAACAATCAGTCAGTTTCCTCGCAGCAGCTTTCTGAGGCAGTTAAACTGCAATTAAAAAAGCTAAGAAGTTACAGTTCCCCCAAAAACACTCCGAATCTAACATTATCCAAAGAAGACAGTGAGTACAAATTTTAAATAAAATAAATAAGCTATATATACATTCAATAATTTAACCGCAATTAAGAACAAGGCACACAGAGAAAAGATAAACATAACCACTCATCAAGTAATTATATCTCTAACAACAACAATATACAAAACCAGAAATCAGCTGCAAACCACTCGCACATATTTCAGTTCTGAAAGACACAACAATCAGTACAGAAAAACTACACTTATTAGCATATAATAACCAACGTCTGCTTCAATGAAATTGGTAGCATATCTGGCTAACAGTTCAGCCTCTTCATAATCTCCACATATATGTCTCTGAAACATCAGAACCGAAAAGAATGAAAAATATTTCAGAATTAAAACCAAATCGATCAATAAGTACTTTACTAAACCGATCAGCGTGGAGAAAGCTTACATTTTTCTTCTAATTTGGAGAGATCCGGATAGATATCAGATATAATTTAGAAAATCATATCAGATATAGGGATGTCCTCAAAGCTCCAGAGATCCATGAAATTGATTCCATCTTGAATCATCTCGGTGCCAAGAATGGAATCAAGTGATCCATCTAAGGTTCCTTCAGAGGATGTCATGAACTTCAGAACTGGATCAAAAGCCGACAGATCTTCTGAAAATTTCATTGCTGAATCCTCACCAGAATCAGTTTTGAGTTTCTTGCCAGCCGCACTCTCTTCCAGGTACGCAGATTTAAGTTCATCAACAGTAGTAGATGGAATTGAGTTAATCTCAGGGTTATTGAACTCATGTTCCCAGCCATAATCCGAGCAATTTAAAGAGTTGCTTTCCTGCTCGGAATACATATTCTGAATCTTTATTGGCACAACAATCTCCTCTCCCATACAAAAACTCGAGTAAAAATTGTAGTTTGCATCGAAACTTGATTCCCAATTAGAGTTTTCTTGCAATGTTTGTGGAGGATGACTCAGAGCAGTTTTGGGAGCTTCATCAGGGAAGTTCACCTTGGCTTTCTTGCCTCGAACCTTACGAGCTGCAGCATCGTAAGCTCGAGCGGCCTCCTCCGGCGTGTCGAATGTTCCTAACCAGACCCGTTCTCCTTTGCGAGGATCTCGAATCTCAGCCGCCCATTTTCCCCATGGGCGTTGGCGGATTCCTCTGTACTGGTTCTTCCTCTTCCTTTTGCCTGATTTATGATCAGCATCTCCATCCAATTGAAAGCGTTTCAGAATTGTTGAATCCTCAGCTACGCATGTAAAGAGAAGAAGAAATAATGGATGCAATCGTGGTTAAGATTAATCGCGAGCAAATTAAGCAGTATTCTTCTTTCGTGATTGTGTGAACAACAAAAATTAAAAAATACTAGCGAGGTGTATGAATTTATAAGATTTATCAAAGCAATTTGAAAGCAAGAAACCACTTTCTAAAACATATTTCAATCAACAGGCAACCAACTGAGCGCATTACGGATGATTTATATGCAATTCTTCTATTTAAATCCACAAATAAAAATCACGTAAGAAAAGAAAAAAACCTCGTCCAAAACAGACCAGAAGAAAACATGATCAAAAGATGCAGACTCCCACTCTTCAAAAATCTCTTTATGTGCGTGCTTACCTCTGCTTAAAGGCGCCAACTTTGGACGGAAAGCGAAAGACTTGACGTCAAAAGGCTCCTCCATTTCGTCCACCTCCGTCACCTCGTCCTTAAACTCCTGGAAATCGGCTTCGAAGTCATCATCGAACTCCTCCGCACGAATCTTCCGGCCATCATTTCTTTTCTTCTTCTTCTTCTTTCCCTGATCGGCCCATAGACAGTCTTTCGCAACTCGCCGCTGCCTTGCCGACGGGATGAAGTCGGAAATGATCGCTCCACCGCACATATCGTAAAGGGCCAGGAAAAAAATCTCACCTTTCCGATCAATGCAGAGATATAACAACTTCAAAAGCTTGTTTCAAGATGGAAAGGTTGGTGGAGATTGTGCGTTTATTATAGAAAGTTTCTTGGGGAGGCAAACAGTAAAATCGTCGCGGGTTCTTTGCATGCCCAACAGTACACAGACAGACGTCAGAGAAATGGGGAATGGTCCAGAGGCTAAGCTCCAAAAACTTTTTTTTTGTTTGTTTGGAGTGACGTTGAAAACTCTTGGTACAATGAATTGGGATTCTGATTGCGTGAATATTTAAATGTTTAGTGGTTTGGTGGCATACGGCATCAGACACTGGGATTTTTGTGGTTGGGTTGATGTAATCATGTAAATTGTTAGAAAAGAATTTAGTAAGGTTGCATGACTAAGAAGTTTCAGCTAATTAAATATGATTCTGTTGGAGATACTTCCAATTGTCTATCTCTCCCTCTCGCTCGCTGATTTCTTATACATCTAAATTGATTTTGCCTTTGGTTTCAGAGATGGACACAGATTTTGTTTTTATATATACAATATATTTAGAGTAATTTGCTTGTATACCACATATTATGTATTTATCTATTTATTATTTAGCTTATATATATATATATATATAAAGGAATGACCAGGGCTATTATACGAACCCTGACATCCCTTATGCTTCTGATAATTCGAGTACTACATCTTGTACTCGGGGGGAATCAAACCCCAGCCAGAATAGACTTACAGCTTACAAAGATATATCCGACCAATTGACACATTTAGCTAACTGTATATGTGTGTGTGTGTGTAACACCTAAATTTTACCATTTATACTAATATCACTCAAATTTTTACTTCATATAAAATTAACATAAGTTTAACACTAATTTTATGTATTTACTTACATGTCTAACACCCAAGGTTTAATATTTACATTTATTGCATTTTGGTGCCACAAATTTACACATGAACAAGTGTATTTCATTTTTAAAAAGATAGTAATTATGATATTATTATCTGTCAGCCGCTTAATTTCTGATTGGCATAGATTTAAGGAGATTTACACCTAATATATAGCTAGGATAAGAAGCAAAAATGATTAGGCATCTCCAGCTATAGATTCTGATCTTTTCCAGATAGGAAGTTGAGGTCGGCAGCAAAATCAGTCTTTTAAGATTAGAAAGATGGAATAAAAAGACAAAAAGCTTCATGATAGATATAATTATATTAAGAATTATGAATAATTTTCGGGGGGTTTCTATACTCAACACCCAATTTTTAGTATACTTCATATATAAAACTCAAGAGTTTAGTATTACATTGTACCACTCAATTCTTCTAGATTCTTCGATCCTTTCATCCGCACTCCGAAGTAAGTCCGACAACATACAAATACCTCTAAAATTCTCATATTTCTTTACCTTCGGCCATGGAGTCATTCTTATTAATTGGACATTCAATTGATCGTGTGCCTTTTTTTTTCTGGTTTTAAAAGTTAGGTTGGACCGACCTGTTTAGCTGATTCAATCGTGGACATGTCATTTGAGAGGTTCATTTCAGACATATTAGAATTGGGGTTGAACGCAACGAATCAGCAAATCGGTGAACTAGTCTAATTTTTAAAGATCCGATTAGTTCTACAATAAATTGTCAAATTTTAGTGTTTTCTTTTTTTTATAAGATGACTAAAATAAGAACTATAAATGGAAAAAAAATATCATTCTCCAAAAATTTTAAGCTTAAAGATCATTCAAAATATTCAAAAATGAAATGTATGAATTAAAATTTTATTATAAAAATAATATTATTCAATCATTATTAAATTAGTTAAATTATGCTTATGTAATTTTAATATTTAGAACGTCTTTGGTTCAACCTCTGGCTCAACTTTGGTTTAGCTATTTGACCTTTAACCTCTTCTTCTCGTTAACGCTTGCTAAATTCAATCCCTTAAAATTAAATTAAATGGCTATAAATGTTATGAGAGATGTGAATTGTGGAAACATATTGGAGACATCCAAAGCAATACTTTCAATAGAGGCACACAAAAAAAGAAACCACATTGAACACATGATTTAAAGAGAAAAAAAAAACTAGAAATACAAAAAATCACGAAAACCACGCAATGCAATGTAATCCACTATGGAAAAAATAATGAGAATCGTGCAAATTAAATCACATTGATGCCTCTCTATACTAGAAAACTCGAGGAAGTTCCTTTCCTTTGCACAAGAGAATATTAAAATGTACATCTTCCAATTAACACTCCAATAGGCACTGAAACACTGACTTTCAAGCATTGCACTATCCTGTTTTTGGGTTTTGAAATTGGATTGGCTATAGTGGTGTTGTCTTTTGGGCTCAGGGTGTTACTGGACAGACGCTAAAAAAAGCTACAGCATTTGGTACGTTGAAAGAATTTCGAACATGTTCACATTTTAGTTAAGAGAATGAGCATGATAGGTGTCTAATGAATATCAAACGTGGATTGTTGGTAGTGTTGGGAAATAATTAAGAAGGACCATGGAGGTTTAGTGATAATTAATAATTAACTAACTCATTCTATCAACAAAAAATAGGAACTCTATGGCTAGAAAGATGGACATCAAACATTATTAGTTAATAGGTGTCTAATGTTAATTGTTGATAGACATAATGTGACGAGTGAAAATGCAAGTTAGCAATGTGTAAATATTGATGCTTGAATAGTTCTAACCTTCGATAGGAACATAGATTAGGCGAGATAAACATCAAACATTAATCGTTAGTAGGTTTAAGACGTCGATCATTGGTATAAAACCTTAAATATTCTATGATAATACGTATTTTCAATTGCATGTCAGTGATATTAGTTGATAGTGACTTCGGGTGTTCATAACAATTGTGAGCAACATTAATCAAGGATTGATCAGAAGCGTCAAAGATCGAATGATGATTAACAATACCTTGATTGATGAATGTTGTTAGGTGGTGGCGATGCTAGTTATTGATATTGGTGGATGAACACTGTCGGACAATGGCAAGCAAATTACGTTGGTTGTTGCCAACATTATGGAATAGAGGGCACCCGCATTTGTTTATTGATGTTATCTAGCTCTTGTGTCGAGTGAAATGAAGTTCAAATGATTTTAAATTAATTTCTATGGTTTCGATCCAATTACTTAATACTTTGAATTTTAAATTTTACATAAAAAATTATATGTAATAAGATAAATCTTTTGACAACATAGTAATACGAAAGCAATTCTATATTACATCCTAAGTATGCAATTATATATAAAGAAGACAGGCATACATGCCACTTACTTCCTTTGAATTTACATGTATCTAACACTTAAGTTAACATAGCGGTATATATATGAAAAGTAAAGTTTAGGTGCTAAGATATGTAAATACATAGGAATTTGGTGCTATGTATGTAAATGCCCAATATATAAAGAATACTATTTCGACAAATCATCAATTAGCTATAATAGATGGCGTTCAGCTGCACGTGTTATAAATCTGGTCAGCTGTTTTTTTGTCAAAATCTACCTACTAATTAACCCAATTTTCAAAAGCGACCTCCACTTAGTGGAGAGTGTGCCCAAGTCTCCTAAATCAGTCAAAAGAATAGAACGAAACCTCTGTCTAAAAATATTTTTTTTTTTTTTTGAAAAGTTGTATTCCTAATTAAATTAAGAGAAACGTGCCAAATTAGTCACAAACTTATGGTCCGTTTGGGACAGATTGTGCGTTTCAGGATAAACTGCTTATCCTGAAACGTGACCCGCGAGCCTGCCGCAGGAGTCAGCAGGGGTCGGTCTGCGGTCTGCGTTTAGTGTAAAAACTCAAACGTAGTTTCAGATAAGCTGACGAAACACGCGAACCAAACGGTACTGCGGCGTTTTGAAAATGCCGCCCGTTAGGGTCCGTTTGGGGCAGCTTGTGCGTTTCAGGATAAGTTGTTTTTCCTGAAACGCAGCCCGCGGGCTGGCTGCAGGGGTCAGCTTGCGGCCCGCGTTTAGTGTAAAAACTCAAACGCAGTTTCAGATAAGCTGGCGAAATGCGCGAACCAAACAGTACGACGACGTTTTGAAAACTCTGCCCGCACTTATAAGCTACCCCAAACAGACCCTTAATGTTTGATTGGCCTAAAGCCCTAAGTGGTTGTTTGGCAACTTTGGGTTTTGAAGTAAAAAAAAATCATATTGTTTGTTGAAAAGAGTAAAATAATCTAAATGAAATATAATATATTTTAAACATTTTAAAATTTTTTAATTTGATGTAAAATAAATGTATGATTTTGTTTTATTATATTTGATTAAAAATATAAAATTAATGTAAAAAATATAATTTGCAGTGTTTTTGAAAGTTGTCTAAATGTAATTAATTTGGAATACATTAATTTTGTACTATAATAAGTTGAATTTTTAAATTTATAAAAAAAAAATTACAATGCATTTCTTTTTCATGCAATCAAACATTAATTTTGAAAAGCCATTTATTTCATTTACACTGCACTCTAAATTAAGCCAACTAAATAACCCAAATTTAGTGAATCCATGAATAGTTAGTCTTAAAATGTTAAATCCGGTTAAGTTATGTTAGTTCAATTTAATTTAATTTATTAGTATTATTAGTTATACTAATAATTAATAATCAAATAATTAAAATTTAAGACTAAATTATCATTAGTTAGTAATTTATTTTTTTATTTATTAGCATAATTCAATTATAAACAGTATAATTTTAAATTATAATTAAATATTAACTAAGAATTAACGATAAAAATTTGATTAATTCACCAACAATATTAATTTAGTTGAATTAGTATTTTTTGATTAGTTAATACTAGTTGATAAGTTATCTTGCAAACTAAAATAAAAAATAGGAAGATTTATATACATATCACTCGGTTCCTACTTATTTATTTAAAAGGGGCATTTACATGCATACCACTCAATTCCTGCTTATTTATATGTATAACAACTAAATTTTAATTTTTACAATTATATCACCCAAAACTTTCTTGTCATGGAAAAAAACAATTATTTTAATTTTTAAAAGTGAAATATATCTTTTCATGCATATCTAGGGTGGCGGCGGTATGCACGTAGAAACAGAGATTTAGGTATGAGATATGTAAATACATAAGAATTAAGTGGTAGGTATGTTAGTGATATATTTATATAACATGAAAGATTTGAATGGTTAAAAAATAAAGGTAAATTTAGGTGTAAATTATGTAAATACATAAAAATTGGATGGTATGTATCTACATACTGAATGCTCGAAAAAACGAAACCCCTTTTCGTGTTCGACAGGATTGAGGGTGCCATTCGAAACGAGAAAAAAATTGCGTATATAAGACTTACGCAGTGCTGCGTACATAATAAAAGTTATATTCATATTATATATGCATTATATTCACGTTATATCGTCTTTAACATCAATATAGCATCGATGTAATCTCTATATAACATAGCTGAACTTACAAATAAATTTCAGGCTTCTATTTTCACGTATAGGTAGTTACTTTTAGGTTAAATAAAAGTTGGATATAGTAAGCAGGCATGTAAGCAGCCATGCGTACGTCTAAGGCACGCAAATTTTTTCCGTTCGAAACCCTTGTTTTTCTCCCCCGTGCGCATCCCTCGACGGCGAAGAAGCAGGAGGAGTCACGATTGGAGCTCAGCGGAGAAACCTCAACGGAAGCAGAGAAGTATTCTTCTCGTGATACTTGAGGATTTTTTTTTATTTTTTTTATTTCTGAGAGAAATGAGACTTGAGGATTTAAACTAACTCCAGGATTTGCGGCTAGATGGAGAAATAGGATTTAAGATTCTGTAGGATTCAAAACTGTCATTTTGACCGTTTGGCAGGGTTCTGAATCCCGTTTCAATTCTTCCTTAAATCTTCTACAAAACAGCTCATAATAATTGCTGTTTAATGACAAATTTGAAGCTCTATAAATCGAGCTTGGAGCCTAGCACTGTAGCACATTCTTCGTGCTTATATGCACAATTTGTGCAATGCATTACTGATTTCTCTTTTGTCTTAACAAATGGCCAAATGTGGACTTTTTAATTTGCTGGTTGAGAGAATTTCTCTTTACTTGATACTACTTGTAATCAACCCCAGTAGACCTGACACATTTAGCTGCTTATTATTTTCTCTTTGGTTTAATATTAATACATTCCATATCAATCTAGGTTTACAATAATATCACAATTGCTGCTTGAGAAGCTTTCTCTTGCCCTCAATAACTTATACATCAATGTAGAATTGTTTTCCAAGCATTCGTGACAAACCGTGGCGAAGAAGTAGGTTTTAATCATGATATTTAAGGATAAAATTTTCTTCTTGGCTACAAGGATGAAGTCACAATTGAATGGCAAGACAAATCTCGTTATTGTGGTACCATCAAAACCATATACCTGATATAGAAGCTTAAGCTGTACCATGTGCTCGAGAACATAATAGAATGATTAGTACAACTAGGATGGTTAAAAGTGTTCCTTATGTCCAACTTGGCTAAAAATCCCAAAAAAGTTTTAGCTAATGAATCTCCACCACAATTTCTATCATCATTATTAAAGAACACTGGATTTATCTTACTATCTTAAAAGAAGGAAAGGAGCTACAAATGATGTATAGTTTGAAGTAAGTAGAGGTTAGAGTGGTGTTCCTAATGCAAGGCTCTTGCTTTAACTTGCCAATTCTCTTCATCGATAAATATTCACCGTCTCTTAATACTTACATGAAAACACATGATAATCTCAACTAGATTGAACAAATATTAATCAACATTGAAGAATTATAGCGATCCGAAGCAATGAGATTTATCTAGACTCTTTTGAATGATTCTAACCTTCTTGGAAATAAAAAATAATGATAATCTTTTCATTAATTATAATGTGGATGCAATGAGATTTATCTAGCATTTTTTGAATGATTCTAACCTTCTTGGTTGTCTCTTCTATCTGTTGATTTCTGAGTAAACTTGAAGATCTAAATTTTCTGCCATAATATTTATTTTCATTATTGAAATAGTATACAGAACTAATATACAGAAAAATAATGGAAATAAATATTTATGTTAATCTCCTCATTAATTATGATGTGGATGCAATGAGATTTATCTATCCTCTCTTGAATGATTTTAACCTTTTTGGTTGTCTCTTCTGTCTATTGAAGTATGGGCAGACTTGAAGATCTAAATTTTCTCACATAATATTTATTTCCATTATTTTTATTCATTCCTTCTTATTCATATTCTTATTGCATCCAACCAAATGTAGGTGGAGAGAGAAAGAGAGAAAGATTCTAGCCATAAAGTTTTGATTTGGAGGTCTTAGAGTTTGATTCTGGATTCTAGACAATTGGGGAAGATGATCTACTTGAGGTAGACTATCACTGTTCTACATAAAAAGTTGGTGATTTCACTCTTCATGTATTTATATTGATTTTACACTAGAGTGAAAATTTGATAATGTAATTCCATATCCTTTTTGCTCTATAATGTTAGGTATTTCACTCTGTTTAGGACTGTTGACCGTGAAGCTGTAATGTTCAGCGATCATTTTAGTCACTTCTGCACTTATTGCATACTACACACATTGTACACGTGATTCACATGTTGTTTAATTTTATCCCCACTATTCAAGCAAACTATATAAAGTTTGTATAATATTATATTCATTTTGAATGTAGTTATATGTGTAGTATTACCATTCGTGTATATTAGTTCTGTATACCAATTCTTGTTGTGAAATAATATTTGCCTCCTATTGCTCAAATTATTCATACTATTTACAATACCATGTGCCATATAATGCTTATGTGCTATTAGAGTTTTGGTTATATTTTATGAGGATCATCTAATGTTTTCTTGTGTATGATAAAGACTAGTTGGGTATTGAAAAGTTGGTTATGTCAATTGCACTAACTCTACACAGGAGAGGGACCTGATGACTCTCCCTTGAAAAATACTGCGGTTGTATGAGCTAACTTGTCTGCAAAATATGTAAATCTTATTATACATTAGGGGCGAAGGACATTTGCATACATACCTCCCAATTCCTATGTATTTACGTAGCTAACTTCTAAACTTAATTTTTACATTTATACCACTCAAATCTTCCATATCACATAAAAGATACCCCCATTTTAACTTTTAATAAGTGAAATTCACCTTTTCATGTATAGGTAAGGTGCCTATGTAAAAATTGAAGTTGAGGCAGGGCTGAAATTAACCAAGCATTTGACAACTTACTTGTAATTCGGCTTGATAAGAACTCGTTCATATTCGTTTGATTAACTAATAACAAATTTGAACACTTATAAAAATGTTTTATTGATAAATGAACAAGCTTGAACACTTCCTTATTCGATTCTTTTATGTTCACAAACAATTTCATTTAAAACTTGCAAATAAGCTAGTTAAAAAGCTTGATAAACAATTTTATTTAAAGTTCATAACTAAGATCGATTTAATGCTCATGAATAACATCAGTGAGAGCTTAATTTAAATTCATTTATTTTAAATTAAATTACATTTCAATTTGTAGTACATAAAATAATATAAAAACTTATTTGTGTAGTAGTTCATTTTTTTTACGCAGTTGTATGCTTATTTTTATTATTCATTTAATAGCTTATTCATTTAAAACTTATTTATTTTTCTAAGCTCAACAAGCAAGTTATTTATAAGCTCGTTTGCTTAGAAAACAAATAGTTCAATCATACTACTCATTATTTTATTCGATAAGTTTATTTCTAGTTAGAATATAAATAACACAATAACTATAATTTTAATTTGCTAAATAAAGATTGTTTGGAAAGAAATTAAGTAACTTGATAATTTACTAATTAATTTGCTTGATAATGACTCATTATCATATGAACGAATAAGAACCAAACTCAAACAAGAACAAAGCTGGAGCATAAACACAAAGCTCAATTTGAGCTCGAGCTTGAATTTTATAAGCAAGCTCAAGCTTAAAAATAGCCCCAAAAGTTCGATTTGAGCTCGAGTTTGAATTATATAAACAAGCTCAAGTTTGGAAACAACCCTGCTCGATTCGGCTCGATTCGTTTGCAACCTTAAGTACAGGTATTAGATATTTCCATATATAAGAATTGAGTGGAATGTATATAAATCTTCCTATATAATGTATGTCACTTAAAAGAAAACTAAGATTTTATTGGATGGACCGACTAGCGAAATACCTTAAATGCATGACTAATGAGTATTTAAATTGTTATTCTATTAATCTACTAATTATTGTTTATTGGCACTTAAATGTTCGTTGTACTGATTGTTGACACCATGCATTGTTCATTACTTATTCGATTTATATATTTATTTACATGGCATGACACATTGATTGATACTAGTATGCAATATTTTCAGGTACAACAGCAGTTAAAAATGATGTCTATTTTTATTTTTGTTTATTGCATTTTATTTAGCATTTTATTGATATCTTGTCATACATACATCACTGTATATTGATCACACTGATTTAACTACAAGAAGAAATTCATTTAATTTGGTAATAGGTTTTTTGTAAGCTACATGTGTATTTGGTTTCAGAGAAAAGTAAGTAACTTTTGGAGTAGAGGCTGGGATTTATGTTATAGGCAGAAGCTTAGAAGGTACTGTGTTTTAGAAGGTTGTAAATGAAGTTTTTTATAATTGTGATTATCTGTATCTACTAATTTTAAACTTATTAACTGATCATGATTATTATAAATAAATCTTTTTGGACATAATAATGCAATCATATTAGTGATATTTGTCTCTTAAGTCTGTATTTATTGTGCTGATTTATTAGTGGCATTATGTAAAATATAAATGGATTGTAATTTCCTTTTTAATAGATCTTTGATTATTGAGGGCACTTGTATATTGAATCTTGTAAATCTGACGTTATTATATGAGTTAAATTGAATTCTGTTCATGTGATGCACCTATCTCGATGTAATTTGCAATAACATAGTGGTTGTTTAGACTGGGCATTACAAAGATGGTATCAGAGCAATGAATTTGGAGGAAGTAATCAAATTATAGAACTTTATGTTGATTTTAGTAGAGACTGGGTGGAAGGTTCAGTCTTCGCATCATGCTAATGAGATTTAAATGATGTAATTTGTGTCAGTGTCTGCGTCTTTTAAATGTTTTTTATCATATTGCTGGATCTTATGGAACATTAAAAGCTAGGTATGAGGAATAGTAACATATTTACATAAGCAACTATATATTAAAACATCAAGTTAAATTATGCTAAGGGATGATGATGTATCAGTGTGGGACGATATGTATGCCTGGACAACAGAGGCTAAATAGAACATGGGCAAGCCCAACATGTCAGGATGGATCCATTAGCAGGTGAGAAGAGACCGTTTGCTGAGCCTGAGGAGATTCTGGAAAGCAGTCCAAGGTTGATGTACTCCCAGTTTAGGACAGAGCTTATATAGTAAGTTATCAAGGGGCCAAAAATGTTTAAAGTGAGGTAACATGTATTTTTTTCTCTGTTTTATTTAATGGTATTGGAGTAGACTTATAATTGATCTTAACCCTGGTATTAATTGTTCATCATGAAGAAACTCTTGTATTCATTGTGGTTGTCACCTTCATTGCGTATTCATATATCTATTATGTTATGTATGGTGAATGCTACAATAGTTAGCTAGGCATGTGTGTGTTATAGAGAATTGTTAGTAAAAAGTTAGAATTTGAGCTGATATTTTTTTCAACTTTTGACTAAGATTGATATAATATTTGAGGATTAGATTGTTGAATAAGTATGGTGGTAAAGTTGATATAAAAAAAGAAGAAGGCTGATTAGCATTTGGATGGTGAAAGATACTATTTTAGGAAAATGTGGAAGTGCAAGAATCATCGGTTCAACTGCGTGGTGAGATATACCATGGTTGGAAGGAACTTTATATAATCACATAAGAAGGATGACAGGAAGCACGAGGTGAGATTTCTACTGATTGAGAGATTGAATTATTATTGATGTTGCACATTATACTACTAATTAAAGAATTTTCGTACGATGGATTTCTAACAAAATTATTTGGATTCTAGTAATAAAATGGAGTTGAAAGGTGCAATTGGGAGATGGTTGATGAAAATTTTGTTCAATCAAAGTTGGAACATTGGTGTTGAGGAAAAGGATGAGAAGTAGCGTCGACTATTTTATCACAGAATTTGATTTTTATGAAGTACTTGTATTGTAGAGAGACTAATATGTTTATTGTGATTATAGATTTGATGAACATGGTGACTAAGTCTTATCTAGATGACTCGATCAAATTTTTTTTTTTTTTATAATATATTGATCTATTATAAGAATGAAGGGAAACATGATGTATGTTTGAAGCTAGTGTGAGATAGGAATGTTATGATGATTTAGTTTATCCGTCGATGGGGGATAATGGAGTTTGGAATAGATTGTAGATTGCAGAAGGGGTTTTTGGAAGATGAAGGATTGCTTATTATCAATTTCTATTATGTAAAGGATTTGGGCTGTGTTTGATAAAATATGGAAGGATGGAGCTTATACTTAATAAGAAGAATGCTTTTACTAACGATATGCTATTATTGTGTTGGAATGAAAGATACCTGTGTTTTTTACATGAGAGAACGTGTGAACTACACATCAGTCATCAGAATTTTTAGTATATTGTCAAATACTAGTTACTAGTTGCACTAAAGTTTCATGAGATGTTTTGAATTGAAACACATTTTAACGTAAATATTTAGTGATGCATGTTCAAAACAATATTGGCAGTGGCGGCATTGAGTAAAAGGGATTTAGTGATATGAAAATTATTACATAATATCCTTAAGGCACTTTTCCAGTTTGACCAATCAAGTTTAATTCTAGAAGTTATATTCTTGTATTTCTTATTCTTCTACATAATATATTCAAAATATTTAAATTTATTACACATTATTGATATGACATTCTTTAAAATTATAAATTATATGTTTGACCTTTGTTCTATTAATTTGAGCTTTTTTATCCTAAAGTATTTTCTCCATTTTTTGGCTCTTCACTTATTTTGGTAGATATATTTCTAATTAAAATTATGTACTTTATGAAGCCAACAACTATACACCAATGCATCCCTTTTTGGTTATTCTTTGTAATTATCACTTAAATAATATAAATATATTAACACGATGTTTTTGGTTCTTCTTAAAAACTTAGAGTTGCCAGTTTGTCTATATATACATGTTGTCGTTGTATGATACCCTTTCCAAGTAAATCTCTTTCTCGAATCATATCAATGATTCAAAGAGGAATAAACAAGAATAAACAAATAAATTTTAAAAAGAAACATAGATTACTTATGTATAAGGTAATACTCGTGTGATAAGTCAAGAGTATAATTCCGAACAAGATCAAATTGAAATACTTCTTAACACGATATCCACGAAAAAAATTTCTACATAAGCCACCCATTGAAAAAGAACCAAAAAGAACATTTTTTTTTTCTGGGGTCAAGAGCACTCCCAAAGGTTGTATCCCTTTGGTTAATTACATCTTAGCAGATACCTAAAAATACTCTCGATAAAATGAGTCTTATATTATATGGACCGGTAAATTGGGCTGTCAATTTGGTTTGTTGTTCGCGGTTGCTAGGGAGCAGCTCGTGTTCGGCTCGTTCGTTAAGCCTAACGAGCTG